CCTCAGCAGTCCGATTTTGATTGCTTTGCATCTTTCCTCTAGGGTAGGGTCAGGTTGGTTGGGCACTCAGGTCATTATTGCCGCAGCCCTTTTCATTTCTTCTATCCGTAGCTTGTCACACCACCTACTGGAGTCTTCTGGGGATAACGCTTTGTGTATGGAAAGTAAAGCCTTCATCACTGTGATCACTTTTGCCCAGAGGTACCTCCGCTCTTAATTCACTAATATTCTTTTGGCACTTTGTGATCAATAGATCTAGTATTGAAGGCGATTGACCCCCTCGGTGTCTCGTTGGCATCGTGACATGTTGAACCAGTCCGTGCAGTTGCACCCATTGTAGGAATGCTTCATCCGTGGATCCTCTGGGCGCGCTGCCAGCCTCCCAGTTGATGGCTGGAAAATTGAAGTCACCATAATAACGAACTCCATAATTCTAGCGAGCACTGCTTGCAGTACTCTCAATAAATTGTCATTATCCTGTCTACTGGCGAGGGGGCTCGGTAGACACATACAATACACACTACTTTTTTTTGTCAAAATTTACGAAACAGGACGTGACCTGGATGTTGTTAGAATCCATTTTAAACGGAGCTTCCCAACTTCTATGATTCTGATGTACTAGGATGGCAGCCCCGCCCCCTAATCGTCCATCCGTCCTGTCCTGACTGTAGGTTATGTAGCCCACGATCTGTGTAGCTACATTATTTGGGCTCCACCAGGTTTCTGTGATGGCAGCTACTGCGAACCCTATTACTCTGGTGGCCAATTCCCCCTATTTTCTTTGGATGCTGCAAGCATTTGTGTAAGAAATCTGTGGCTCACTCGCTTGCAGTTCATGTCCCACAACGACTGATTTTTTAATTGTCCCTCGGTCGTAGGGTCCGAGGGATTGACTGGTTTTTTGACCCGGGTGTTGCATCTACAACGGTATCCTCGAGGTTCCACGAGGCACACTGGGTCGAATACTTAACATCCTTGCAGGTGAGTCCGAAGTCTAGCCTGCTGCCCTCTGGCCTTGACACTGGCTTCTGGTCTATATTACGGATCTGTTTTGGACTGCCTACCACGGTTGCCCAGCTCCTGTTTTTTGGAGTGCCAACCGAGTCTTTATTCACAGGTTGATCGCAGTTCCCCTGCTTGTGTTGCCCGTTTGCTCGGCCCACAGTTCCGTTGGAGATGCTGCGTGATTCAGCTTCCTTCGCGCCGTTGCTTCTAGGTTTAGGGGCAATCGGAGCCTTCTGTTTGTTTTTTTATTTCTTTTGGCAGCGATCCTCCTGGCGGTACCTTCGGAGTAAATCTGCTTAGTGGAGCCATCGCCTGCTTCTTCAAGGGTCGGTGTTCCGTTACTTTTTCAACTTTTTCAGCTTTTGATATTTTTACCGCAAGTCGTTTGCTCCCCATTCTAACCTTATTGGAGCTGAGGTTCGATGTCATTCGTGACCCCAACTGCAGCGGGCCATCTGACGTGATGCTGATTTGGCCGTCGGTTTGTATTTTGATCGTGCCCGCTCTAGATAACAGTTGATCCCTCCAGTACATGGTAGGGAACATTATCATTATTGGCCTCGGCAGCCCTTGTTGCGCAGCTCACCAAAGACCCACGTGGTGAAACTTGACGATAACGACTGCCGCGGGCAACCCGGCCATTCTAATTATATCTCTTACGTGGCGACCATCCCCTTCCTGCCTGATTTTACGGTTGCTAAAGACTGGTTCGCGGCAGTTGTGTAGCAGCAGGTGTCTGTTATCTGGCTCCTGGAATTTGACACTCTTGATCTCTGCCTCCAGTTACCGGACTCTTTCCTTCAGTGTTGCCAGCTCTACTGTGAGCGTATCGTCAACTACTTCCCGCTCGGCTTGTTCGTTACTTTAGTTGCGCGGGCCTCATTGGGGCGATTTTCATCTTTTCCCACACTCTTCCTCGCAATATTGGCCCCAGCGTCGTTAACTTAGAGTCCCTTTACGGGGGAGTTTCTTCTCGCGTCTGGTCTATCCGTTGAGGAGCAGTTTAGACGATCCCGGAGCATTCGTGAGCATTTATCTGTAAGGGCAGGGCAATGCCGACAGATCCATCTGAGGGATTTGTGTACAATATGGAGTTAAAAATCTTTTTTGCTTAATCCAGAGCAGGCTTCATTATACCAACGGCGACATCTGTCACAGAGTATACCTTCAACCACGGACTCAGCACATGATGCAGCCCGACATAACGCCGTACTATCATGGCATGTCATTTTTTACGTCGATGATGTTGTTTATGAACAAAAAGTACCGTATCAGATTAGTCCAAAGCAATTAGGAATGCCAAACTAGGAACTATTATGGTCTAATGGAATGCCGAGACGTTTAAGTGGGAGTAAAGAAGGAGTAAAACGTTAGTATGAGCAACGACACACTGATATAGTACCACATAACGGCTAAGACAACAATAAGAACGTAAAAATACTCTGAATATTCTTGTATGAACTTAAATAATTCCTAAAAATCTACAGAAATTTACCCACGACAACAATTAACCGCGCGGCGTCAAGGTAAAGTTCAGTTCAGTTTTAACAGGACGAATGTGGCTCTTGCCAATCGAGCGTCCAGTTCTTTGTGTTGTCGGCGGATGGGAGTAGCTTCCAACACTGCGTACAGTTGATTAGGTGTTTGCAATTTTCTCAATGTAGCCCCGTTGCCATAACGTTGATTCCTTGGGGTATGCTCAAACGGAGGAAAGCAAGCAAAGATATCTCCTCGCCTCATTGGTTTGAGATCTCAAGTACACATGCGTTCGTATACACAGATCACGTGTGACCGGACAGTCAGTTTTAGAATAATTCTAACAGTCAAGCCCGAGTTTGCACCATTTCAAAGCTTCCGGTTAAAGTAGAATTTATTCCTTATGTTTCCACTCTAAATACTAACTTCGGGGAACGTTGCTGACCAACATGCGTCCAGGGCCACCTTGAGCGCGTTAACATTGGCGCAGTTGACCACTTATGCGGGTAACCTGCTCCACAAAGTATGACCCTGTATGTGAAGAAGTTGACCCGTACTTCCAACCTGGCATGGTGCTGCTGAAGTTTATAGTCATGACCTCTCGTGTTCTAAGCTCGAGAAATCGTAAACAAGTCATCTAGGTTAAGTCCAGATAGACCGTTTACAATTTTAAAAGCCACTGTCAGATCTCCCCTCACTGTTCTACGCTCCAGCGAAAAGAGATCAAGATCTCTCAACCGCTGCTCATAGTTCTTCCCCTTTTGCCCGGCCCCCATTCGGGTAGCTAGTCGCTGCACTCTTTCTAAAC